GCATCAGAACGGAAGCTTTTGAGCAAGCTGTGCCTAGACTCAGGGCCAGGTCTTGAAGTCTTGATTGGCCTCCAGGAACTACAGCAAAGCCCACTAAGATGCCATAAACTTCAAGCATTCCATTCCCCAGACCTGCTCCAAGTATTTTCAACACAGCCCTCACTCTAACCTCTTCCTGAGCCATGAGCCTACTCTGTGTCCTCCCAAACTCCTCGCGCGAACCGCCTTACTAAGAACATGCTGGCATCTCAGCGCTTGCCTGATCTGGAATTCGCCACACCATGCCCGACCAAGCCTCCCGGCAGCAGCTGCAGAAACCACACCGGCATGGGGCTACATCTTGCCAGCAACCTTAACCTTTCACATGACTACCTGGCAAGTAGGCGGCCTGATCGTCTACGTCCTATTCAGTGTCAAGATGGTAATCCAGTGTAGAAGTCAGCCTACTGTTGATAGTGACGCTACTCTGAAAGGCCCGACATGGCCCAACTGATCTGACTGCACAACTGTTCAGGCTTCAAGCAGATCATACTACCAGGCTGGCCCGAGCCGAACGAAGAGCCGCGAGTCCGGCCGCAGCAGCCGCGACATGGCCTGCCACGTAAGGGTTAAGGGATGCATCTTGTTTGCCATCGAAATGCTGGTCACCCCGGCGGACGCTCCATGCGAAAGCGACTACTCTCAAGGTTTGTGCAACTGGCCACTTCGAACAGCCACAGGTGCAAAGCAACAAACCGGGCTGGATCGGACACTCGTCATCTCTCCACGCTGGAGCTCACGCCGAAGGAAGTCCTGTCAAAGCAGACCACGACAATGCCTTCGACTCCGACGACTCAGGAGTTGGCATTAGGCTCACTGCAGAAAAAGACCGATAATACTATAAACACAATGCCCTGAGGCTTTTCCGAGCCAGGGATTCAGCTATGGATGGGGAGCGCGAGCAAAGGATGCCATGAAGCCGAAGAGAAGGATCCACCATAAAACCTCGCCAAGCAACAGAAAACCGGATTTGGAGCCCTTCGAACAGCGTGCACTTTGCTTATTGGAGGGTTCCAATCTCAGAACCAACCCCCAAACTCCACTACCCCGGTCACAGCCAGGATCATAATAGGCACCACATCGCGGAGCCCGAGAGCTATAAGCATCAGACACATCGAGCGAATCGAACTCTCCAGCACCGAAATCGCAAGGGGATGATTGTCTGTTCATGTCCCCCGATTCGCCGATGGGATTGGTAGGAAAATGCCATGACACGCCATGACCAGCCTAATCCATCCCGTTACATACCGCAAGCATATTATCAGTAGTCTGAAGTTTCTGACCGCCCGGCGAGCTCACGCCGTCGTCCATCATGGCTTGGATTAGTGCGTGCTGCCACATTGTGTGGGAAGAAAATTCTTCACCCGAGCTTGGTTTCAGAACCGTGGAACTCAAATCCCGAAGCCTATCGTTGTCCTGCCTTGCCAACCACGTCGTCCATGGAAAGGCCAGGCCTACATCAGCAAGGGCTTCAGGGTATAGGGCTACTCGGAAGGCTTGCAGAACTCTCATGTGGGACGCTGGGCTTCAGTAAAAAAAGCTCAGCTTAGCTTGATGAGTCGCTTCTGGCCTTCTCCTGCGAGATAATTTGAAAAAGGATGCTTGGCCATAGTTGAACGGGAAACAACCGGGGGCTCATAACATCTGTTGCTGCATGCGATAAAGCCGATAAAGCGTTCTGACATCCCTCGGACATGAAGGGGACCTCAGAACGGCGACACCCCGACGGCGGAGTGCACTTCCCTCATGTTCTGGTGCCTGGCATGTCAACATGGCATAGGGACATCCTACTGGTAGGATCCCAGAAATTCGAACCCCGGCAACGCTTTCCTGAAGCCCTGTGAGACAGCTGTTTTCGTCACGTGATTGCGATAATACTGAATAAATACTGCGACCAAATTGCTCAGGAAACTCACTGCCCAGACTATGATAATAATTGCGATGAAAGCGGGTATGATGACTATGACGAGTACGGTGATAATTGTGATTTTTAGGATGGCGACAATGGTGACGAGGAGAATTGTCACCAATAGTTTGCGTAGTGTCAGTTGCAGTACGGGCAGCAGTAGTTGCAGAGCAGTGGCGCAGCAGTAGCACGAGGAGTAGCCGTCGTCGTACTAGGTGTAGTGCTGCAGCAGCAACAGCAGCAGGAATATGCAGCAACAACAATAGTAGTAGCAGCAGTAGCGGTAGCAGCGATATTCATTCAACACGCAGCGGAATGTCTGTCCACCTCGCGAGAGGCACGGAATATTGCCAGTGTCCTCTTATGGGACACTGCGTCGTGCCCGTGAGCCGCGACGCATTCAACGCAAACGAACAGAAGGGTAGTAGCGGCAGATGCTCAAGTAGCAGTAGCAGCAGTAGCAGCAGTAGCAGTCGCAGAAGCGGTAGGTAGCAGTAGTAGCAGTAGAAGTAGAAGTAGAAGTAGAAGTAGTAGTGGTAGTGGTAG